CATGAGTCGCTCGTGAGTTGGCACAAGTCATTTATGCTCTCAATGGCAACTAATTTTTAGTTGGTTTTGGTATGTTTAGGTGCGTTAAGTGTCAGGGAAGGTTTCCCCTCAACCAATTTCGAGTTTGACTAAGTTTTTGGGGAGAAATTTGTGCGGTGTTGGCCGACGAGTTCACAGATGGCCGAATGGGATTTTCTATGATTTTGAGTTGTTTTTGATTGACCTTGTTCGAATTAAAAGACTTTGATCAGTTTGTTTAGCTCAGTTCTACAACCCTTGGCCATCGATTTATTGAGGTAAGTCTTAAAACTCTGTAATTTTTAGGGTAAATAGAGTCGGATACTGTGCTGCAGAACTGGTTTGGGGAGTTAGGTCATCAAGTGAGGAAGATAGACCCATATGGTGTTCGAGTCCATGTTGAGATGACTCAAATGAGTTGAATCAGCTCACCAAGTCAACTCAACTAGGCTAGGCTTGATGTGGGCTAGGCCGGTTAGGCCTGGGCTGTGCTGATCTCGTTAAGCTAGGCCAGCTTGTTGGGCCTGGGGTGGGCCAACTAGGCTAAGCGGGTCAGTTGGGCTGGGCGAATAAGCTTGGGCCACGGCAGTTGGTCCAGCCACCAGCCCAAGATTTTTGGTTGGGTCATGTTCTAGGCAAGAGAACCCAGTGAATTGACTCGGCCAAATAGCCAGAATCAGTGAATTGACTCAACGATTCAACTCAATAGATTAATTTCAAGATGTGCCATCCCAAGGGCAGAATGGAATACAATTGGAATAAGATAACCAGGGCTGGAGTAAGGTATCCAAGGTTACTTATTTAAGGCAGAAACGGTTCAAGGGCTAGTTCCATGGGAAATTGTCCAATTCAATAAAAACTTTGACTAGTTCTAGGAAAGTTAGATCGGTTCACAACTCTGGAGAGTTTTGTTCGTCAGAAAATCGATCGATTCAGTACTGTTTAAGCTAGTTTAGTGTACAAATTGCTTGGTTTAGCTTGGTGTAAGGGTTTTAAGGTCAGTTCAATCTGGCTTTAGGGTATTTGAGGCTGATTCAATCCAGTTCTGAGGTGTTCATGGCCAATTCAAGCTAGTTTAAGGGAGTTTAAGGCCAGTTCAAGCCGATTCAATAGTTTTAGAGACTAGTTCATCACGGCTTAAGGGTTTTTTAGAGAATGGATGTGTGTTCTTGAGTCGTGTGAGTTTTAGGTGATAGGTAATGAGCCTTGGGGTGCATGTGAGGGTTATGGAGTGGGTTTAGAGCCTGGTTGTGGGCAGCTAAGTTCTTTCTTGTATTAGTTTAAGTGTTAGTTTCTTGTATTGGTTTAGAGCTTGGTTATCGACGAAGATGCAGGTTAACCATTAAGTCGTGAGTAATGATATCTTTTCTATACACGTGTTTTCTAACTATGATTGATGGCATGGATTCTAGTTTTGCTAAATAAACTATATTTTGATATATACAAACTATCTATGATATATATTAATGTGTTTGAAATGTTAGTGAGTCTTTTTGAGATAATACGTTTGACTTAGTATGTTGATATATGAACTATATATGTGTATTTGTAAAAAAAATGTTTTATATTTATATGTGAGGAGTTGTATCATGTGATGAGGTTGAGACGTCAAGAGCTTGCACTAGAGAACAGTGATATGTAGCATCCAGTGATGAGTGGCCTGAGTCCAATATGAGGCTATGGTACCTCGAACATGATGCGCACGGTCATGAGATTGATATATGATGAAATTGTGATGTCAAGGGCTTGCACTGGAGGACGATGATCCGTTACGTTCGGTGGTGAGTGTCCTGAGTTCGGTGTGAGACTGTGGTGCCTCGAGCATGATACGCTCTATCATAATATTTGATGATTGTATATGATGATACTCCCACATGTATGATTTCATATACATGAATTGCTCACTGTACATTTATATGTATGATTTGGTATGTGATGCGATGCATATCCCAATATGGCTAAAGTAAGTATCATCTGTTACTCACTGAGTTTTATGACTCACACTTTTATATTTTTTTAGATCAAGTCGCCTTTTTGTATACTAGCTAGGATTTGTGTCAAAGTTGGACCCTATCGATTTAATAGATGTGTAGGCATGTTTTGTATTGTATTCCTTTGTACTCTAGTTTGATCATTTACTATTCTCAAACAAGATTTCTGTTTTGTATATGTGAAGTTTTGAGTTATGTTTTGTGATGTAACTAGTACTGTTTGGTATGTTGTTAATGTAAGACTTACTGGAGTTGGTAAACCCTAGTACTGGCACTATTTGGTATATTGTTAATGTGAGGCTTGCTAGAGTTGATAGATCCTAGTACCGGTCACGGGCTCAATTTTTGGGTTGTGACAAATTCCAAATCACAAACCTATTTTGAAAAAAGAGTTTTTGTCACATTGCTTAGAAATATAGATAAAACAACTGGATTGTGTGATACAATAATGTTTATCGTGAATGAACTGAGGAACACAATATTGCTAAAGTAACAATTGTTAGAATAAGTCATGTTGAAAACAATACCTTCATTCGAAGGATGAACTTCCTATTGACCCAAGAATTCATTTTAAATTTCAAAGTAGTTAGTTTCCAATTGGCTATTTGCTTTGCAATGATCGTAAATAAAAGTTAAGGTCAATCACTTTCTCATATTTGTATCTATTTATCTAGCCTATGTTCACTTAGAAATAACTTTACGTTGCAATATAAAGAGTTAGAAGTAAGTATTACTTTGAAAACTTTAATATGTGCTAAAGTTGAAAACTCATATCACATAAAAAAAATGTTGTTTACAAAGAAATCTTTTAAAAAATATGATTGAGAGTATGTATTTATTTCTTATCTTACAAGTTTTTAATGCTAGTTTGTTGTTTTAATTTGAAAGTAATTTATATTTAAAATATAATTAATAGCATATCTTCTAATACTTTAAAATAGAACTGATTCGTTAAAAAAAAAAATCCATGTATCATGTTCTCAAATATTTGGTATACTTGAATCACATAACCAAATTATTTCCAATAACTAATACCCATTTATTATATACATATATATATATATATTCATATACTCAATTCCTATTGAATAATTATCACTATTTATATATATAGAAAGAGAAAATAGATGGCATAGAAATAGATATTAATTAATTATTAGCTATCCACTAATTAATCACCATCAATATATATAGAAAATTTAAATAGATAGTAAGAAAGTAGATGGTAATTAATTATTGGATAAGAATTAAGTGAATTTACAGTGTGCATGTGTGTAGAAACTTTCAAAGGTCCTTTTTTCAAATATTTAGTTCACACGAATCATGCAATCAATTTATTTCCAATATTTAGTTCATGCGCAATCAATGTGTGTGTATTTTTCTGTCCAATAATTAATTCATATTTATTTACCTTATATATATGAACAAACAAGAACTAATTATTAAAAAAAAAATTGATTATATAATTTATGTGGACCAAATATTAGAGAAGAGGACACTTAAAAATTTTCTTTTACGAACACGTATTGTAAATTGACATAATTAATTTTTATCTAATAATTAATTACTATATATATATATATATAAATAGGATATATATTACATAAATTTACAACATGTTTATTCTATTTTCATATTCGTATATGATAATCATAATATGATTTTTGATTTTTATCAATTGATTTAATTATGAATTAATTTATTGTATTATTTAATAGTCCTTTAGTAAAATGTCATTTTATTTTTTATGTGATATTTGATTTTTATTGAATGATTTATTAATTGATTATATTATTTAGTATTTTGTTGTGTGTATACATACATACATGCATGCATATATATATATATATATATATGTATGTGTGTGTATGTATATATATATATACTTGTTTTTATATTAAGATATGATACATTGCGATGTAATATTTGATTTTTATTAATTAATTTATTGATTTATTGTATTATTTAATAGTCTTATAATAAAATGTAATTTTATTTTTGAAGACATGATATATCACAAGGTGATATTTCATTTTTATGTAATATTTGATTTGTATATATTGACATACTGATTTATTAATTTATTGTATTATCTAATATTCTGATAAAACTGGTAATTTTCTGGCCACTAACCATGAATTTTGACTAAATTCCTCCTCAATTATGAAAATAAAAACATTAAATTAAAATATTATTATAGATTACACTTTTAATATTTCAATTAACGAGTACAGAGCTTGATCAACATTTAAAATTTGTCATTATTTTTTATTTTTAACATGAATTTCAATATTATTTTACAATATTTTATTTTAATACTTATAATTTTTATATTTCATGTTACTTTATTTAATTTAATAAAGTTATTATGTGGGCTTCTTTTTTTCATCTGGTGCACCAAGCACCAGTATTACTTAAAGAAAAATATTAAATACTATTATTGATTACCATTTCAATATTCAATTGATAAATTCAATTATAGAGTGTAAAAAGCGTCTGATCACCGTCCTAAATTCTGTACCCTTTATTAAAGTTCTTAATATAAATTTAAATGTTTATATTTATAATTTTTATATTTCATCTTATTTTTATTTAACCTGATAACATTGTTATTTATAATATTTTTGTATAATTTTTTTTACATGGTGCGTGACCGGAGTTCAAGCACTGGTTCACAGACATAAGTTAATTCTTTAGCTATTAGATTAAAATATATATATATATATATATATATTCAGATGTGCCACGTGTCCATCCATCTTCAGTCCAATTACTTGGTCTCTTTTCACATATAATGAAAACTGGGTTTGTTTCTTATGTATGGGGTGCATCTTCGAGCCAATTACTTTATCTGTTTTCGTATAAGCAAAGTGCAAATTTTCCTCCTTAGCCCCACCCACCAACAGCCAACGAACCCTGCTAAAGTGGCCCTGCTTCAGCAATCTTGCTGCAGTAGAGATACGGAGAATTAGAAAGAGAGAGGACAGCGAGATGGCCGTTCCAAGTTGTGCTAAGGTTTTCCCCGCCTTCGAATGCCGATCTGATCCTGAATTTTCCGGAAGCTTCCGTGCTGAATATCCTCGCTGCGCCAGGCGCCACTCGCCGCCGATCGGAAAATCTCTCGCCGCCCCTTTTGGTGGCCTCTCTTCTCTGATCTTCAAGTTCCCTCCGAATTTCGAGCGCCAGCTTAGCACCAAGGCCAGGAGGAACTGTAGCAACATCGGCGTCGCTCAAGTGGTGGCTGCCTCGTGGTCCACCGATCCAGCTGGCGCCGTTCCTGCATTCGCCGCCTCGGCCGCCGGTGCTCCTTCAGCCAATATTCCAGTCGATGTGGAGCAGTCTACGGTGGTTAATGGTGGTCATGCTTCTAACATTAATGATGTACAGTTTTCTGACCTCTTCGATTCGGAGGCAGCCTCATTTTTGCGCTCTGATGGGAGCATCGCGATTCATGCTGGTATAATTTAAAAAAATTGCATTTTTTATTGCGTTGAGTATCAGAATTCACTCATTATATTTGCTGTTGATCCGGTTTTACGATTTGCAGCTTGTTTCAGTTGAGTGATTTGGAGAGAAAAGAGAAGACAGATAGCATTTTCCTTCCAAATCACCGATTTGGATTGGATATTATAGAAGAAATGAATGCAAAAAAAATAGAAATGTAGAGAAATTCGAAGCCCTTATAAACCTATTTTGAATCCTTTGAAAGAAAAGAAATTTGCTTAAAATTTTATGCACCAAAATTACCAGCTACATGGAAAAAGAAACTTTCATGTCCCAAAGCTGTCTCCATGTACCTCCAATTATCCAAACAAGAAGAACTGAAATTATGATCTTTTCTTTATTAAATGAGATAATGTTCTTTTATTCTTTTCTCTCCTTAGTTGCCTAACATAGCTTTAGATATAACATTAGTTCATATCTCTAGTAATGTTCATCTGTTGTGGATGGCTTCAAGTTAGCAAAATGCTATGAATATTATTGTTTTTGTTATTGAAGTTTTACGTGTCCATTTATAATAAGAAATAGTGTGCAGTAGGAAGTTTGCTTTGGATGCTTCTGTTTATCATAGATGCAAATTGCCATTTTTCATAGAGATCCATCTGAAGATGACTATCATTATGCGCTGTATACTAAATGCCCATGTTTCTATATGTCATAACTCTGTGTGTATGTGTGCTTTCCCCTTCCCTCTTGCTGAGAGTAGGATGGAAAGGGTTTGAAATTAGATTAGGATGTTTGAGGTGGTTTTCCTTATTGATGTTTAAGTAATCAAATTATATTATTGTGCTCTTAGTTTTCAAGTTCTTGCATGTCCATGATTCTGTGGTAATTTATTATTGAGTTTGGGTGATGAAAAGACTAATAGAATTAAATTTTGCTGTTCTGTTGTTTAGGTGAAAGATTAGGGCGTGGCATTGTTACTGATGCAATCACCACTCCAGTTGTTAACACCTCTGCTTACTTCTTCAAGAAAACTTCTGAGCTTATTGACTACAAGGTATTTATCTTTCTTCAGATATGCTTCCTTTCCGATCATTATCTGCAAAGGACTACCCAAAATTGCTCATATAAATGATTTATTTTCTCGTATATACATGTTCAATTTATTTGCAGGAGGGACGGCATGCAAGTTTCGAATATGGGCGCTATGGAAATCCTACTACTGTTGTTTTGGAGGAGAAGATAAGGTGTGTTCTATTTATGAGAAACCTTTCACAGGATGTAAGTGCCATTTATCAATTTCATACGTTTGATGTTAATTTGATATTAAATTTTGATTCATGCAGTGCCCTTGAGGGGGCTGAATCAACACTAGTAATGGCATCGGGAATGTGTGCCAGCACCGTTATGTTGATGGCACTTGTTCCAGCTGGTGGGCATATTGTTACAACCACTGATTGCTACAGGAAGACAAGGATTTTCATTGAAACTATTCTTCCCAAAATGGGAATCAAGGTTGTTTTGGTTGTTCCTTTCTTTTTTGAGCATTTCTATCACATTTTTCGGTGCATCTTCCTTCTGCAGATGCATCATGGTTAAATATGTGCTAGCACAACACCTGTTTATTTGCAGCTCTCTAAATATTGTCATGGTTATATGACTGGTTGAAATTTTAAATGACAAGAAAGTCCATTGAACTTGTTCGTGCATCTGAGTGTCAAAGAGTAGCCACACGTCTGTGATTCTTGCAGATGCAATTTTTACTCCTTTTGATATTGTTGGTTTTTCTTTCTTGTACTTAAATTGGCCCTATGTGTGTGTGATGTGCCCACATGTTGTATGTTGTCTCCTGTTTTATTCCTATTTTTATTAATTTTTTTTTCTTTTGTTGTGTAGTGTTCAACATTTTCACTGTATGTCTAGTCAAATTTTTCTTGTTATTTTCACATTGCAGTACTAATTATTCAAAGCTTATCTTGTAGTATTATTAATTTTAAGCTACTGCCAATTTTATTTTATTTTTTTCAATCTTCTCTTTCAATTCTTTGCCTTCTTTATCATGATATATGCAGGCCACTGTCATTGATCCTGCAGATATGGATGCATTAAAATCTGCTCTTGATAACAATGATGTAAGCAGCACTCCAAATTTTGGTTGCTTGATTAGATTTTTGTTTCTGTATAGGACTGATATTGTCCCTGTCTGGAACTGTTTGGTGGATGCAGGTTACCCTTTTCTTTACAGAATCACCTACAAATCCATTTCTCCGCTGTGTTGATGTTGAATTGGTTTCAAAGGTTTGCCATAGTAAGGGAGCATTGGTCTGCATTGATGGGACATTTGCAACACCTTTGAACCAGAAGGTCCTTGCTCTTGGTGCTGATATTGTTCTCCACTCAGCAACAAAATATATTGCAGGTCATAATGATGTAGGTATATTTGTAATTTGCATCTATTCCAAGGCACATAAACTTCTTTTGGTACATGTAAAACAAAGAGCTTTGAGCTCTAGTGTTTTGTCTAATAAAGCAATCCAATGCTTGTCTCAGGTCCTTGCTGGTTACATCAGTGGTTCTGAGAAACTTGTCTCTCAAGTTCGTACTCTTCATAACATTTTGGGTGGTGTTCTTAATCCAGTAAGTCACACTGTGTTTAGCATTCTTGTGGGACTGTAAAGTTACAAACCTATGGCTAAATGGCTTTTTCTTTTATGCAGTAGGATGCAATAGATTGCACTTAGTCTATTGACTTTTTTCATTTAGAAACTATTGAATAATCTGATGCCTGATAATGAACTAATTACACATCCACTTCTAATAAGCTGTTTTTTTTTTCTTTTTTTTTTTTTTAATCTTTAACAGAATGCTGCATACCTAATAATTCGAGGCATGAAGACGCTGCATCTTCGTGTACAGCAGCAAAATACTACAGCATTAAGGATGGCCAGACTTCTAGAGGGACATCCTAAGGCAAGTTGAAAAGCTAAATTATCTCATGTTTTCATTTTTATCTTTTCAACTGAAGGATTTGCTGCAGCTTCAGTTGATTTCGCTAATGTTATTAAACCATTGTTGGAAGTTTTGAGATATTTCTCTCTTTCTTCTCCTGTCTTATCAGGTGTAAGGATGAGCCTTAATAATCCATTTTATTCTCCCATATAACAAAATGTAGAGATTTTTCTGAACTTGAAGGCAGTTATATGATGATAACTTGTCCTACCTGTTAAGTTATCATAAACGAATTCAGACTCCATGCATTGCCCCATTGTCTTTCTCTTAGGTTCATTATATATCTTTCTTAACTATTACTTCTAATTATCAAGAAGAATATCAATTTGGTGTATGCATAGAATTTATCAGTAGAATCATTGAAGTTCTAACTATTGGAGAGAACAAAATAAATTTTTGGCAAATGACTCTAACAGAGGCCAGTTGGGTAGCATGTCCTGATTTTTAGACTAACTAAACGTTTTTATACTTCTGCATCACCATTTTCTAGTTTCTTTAATGATATCATGCTTTAAAAACCTGACCAATTGAGCCTTCTATAGGTATCTTGTGTTTACTATCCTGGTCTTGTCAGTCACCCTGAGCATTCTATTGCCAAGAAACAAATGACTGGTTTTGGTGGGGTGGTTAGCTTTGAGGTGAGCACACTTTGGTTGGCCTAGTTTCTTCACAATGTACTTGATTTGATTTCTAAAATCCTTGAAGTTCTTATTAATATGCGTATGTAGGTTGATGGGGACTTGATGACTACTGCAAAGTTCATAGATGCTTTAAGAATCCCTTATATAGCTCCTTCATTTGGAGGCTGTGAGAGCATTGTAGATCAGCCTGCAATCATGACCTACTGGTATACACCTTTCTATTTCAATCAGATTGTTGTATTAGTATTTATTTGCACTTGTTTTTATGTAGACATATATATTTTGTTTTTTTGGTTGGTTGTCCTTGTGCTTCTTGTCTATGCCTTCTTTTCATTCAAGTGTTTAAGATATGTTCTGCTGCAAATTGATCCAGGGATCTTAGCCAAATAGAGAGAGCTAAGTATGGAATTAAGGACAATTTGGTTCGATTTAGCTTTGGCATAGAAGACTTTGAAGACTTGAAGGCTGATATCCTTCAGGCCTTGGCAATTATATAGCTTGCAACGACCTTCAACTTATGTTCTTGGCCCAGTCCAAAACTCTCTCCATCGTTTCTTAGCATGCAACTGGGATAGATAAAACTTCTCTTTTAGTTACATTTTGTTTTATCTTGCTTAATCCAATTCAAGTATGTCTCTTTGGTAATTCCTTTTGTAGAATCCCAATTATTCTTCTCTGCAGGAAGCATTGCCCATCAGTTATGCGTGAGTATGAACCTTGAAATCCACATGTTTATACATGCATAGATATCAATATAGATTGTGTGGAACTGGTTTTTAGGCAGATCGAAAGTTTCTAATATTTCTATGAAAATCAATTTTAATTAGTTTCATTAAAAACAGACCAACATCCACCTTCATTGACTGCTGCCAAGAAGTCCTATATTCAAATTCCTTAACTTGAAACCCAGGTTGATTAAGGTTAAACTAAACCTTTTGTTGTGTAGCAAGATATTTCTGTTAAAAGTAGAAAGCCAGCTTGATGAAATTAAAACCTGCAAATGGCGATTGAGATGTATCATTACCCACAACAATAAGGTAAGTGATCCAAAGTTCCGGAATGATAGGACATTGATTATTGCAAATCTACCAGATACAGCAACTGAAGAAGGCTTCACTTCATTGTCCTTCAGCGAAGGAGATAGAATAAAACTGTCAATAGTCAACACAGCTCCACCATGCCTAAACCTGTTATAAGCTAGTAGCGCTAAACTTGCAATTCTCTTAAAGTAACGTGTAAATAGGGCCGTGAATTGGTCAGGTTGGGAGGAGATCTAGTGGGACTAGACCCGAAACTGGTAAGGCCAAATACAGATCCCACGTATAAGTATGTTGAAGGAATCAATGAAAACATGGGAAAAGTAATAATCAAATCAAATGCAATTGGCGTTTGGAAATTAGAGTTTTACCAGGGAATTGCATACGCTCAATTTATTTGATAATTTTCAAAAATCCTAGACCTGTTTAAATCAGCAGACCACTTTTGTATTTGTGCAGCATACTTTAAGAATTTGTGATTTCAAAATTGCACAAATCTGGGTGGTGTCAATGCGAGGGATAGAGCCTTCAGAACACTAATTTTTCATTCTGCAGTGAAATTGGTTCGGTTGGGTAGGGTTGAAAAGCAGGCTGAAATTTGTTCGATTGTGAAGAGTTTAAAAACAGGCTTTTGAGCCTTTAACTGACTGGGAATGATGTCCACTTCAACCATAGTAAGTTTTCATTTCCCCCTTTTTCCTTTCACCTCCAGAGAGGGATTGTGATTTATCCAGCGTTTTTTTAAGAAAACAAAAAGGGGACTTGTGCCTCCACAAATAGACACAGCATGGCAGTAAGGCGTCTTTCATGCCCCTTGATCATCTTCTTCTATCGATTTATCTTTTTATCAACTTCTACAGCAGCCAGCAGGTAGAAGCATTCTTTGACAACAAATTAACCACGATCGGAACACACGACAAATCCTTGTTCAATAGAATAATCAATTCAGCAAATTTTAGCTGATGAAAAAAATTAACAATAAATTGTCTACAGCAACAAACTAGACGAATCCTACTTTACGAAATAAACTAAAAGCTACATAGCTAGCCACAACAGACTTTGTTGTTAAGCCAAAACCAAAGGGGAATATATCTAGCCAGCCACAACAGGCTTTGTTGTTAGGCCGAAACCAAAGGTGAACAATGGATCATAATGTGGATCCCCAACATTCATTGGGAGCTGTTCCACAGTCCGGAACCAAGTCCGAGGAAGCTTCCCGGTGAATCCATAATCTCCAAAGAGCACATCGGCCACACCTTGGCCTTCTGTGCCTGGTAACCACGCAGCCACTAGTGCATCAATTGAGGAAAGATAGGGCTCAATTACAAGGGGCCTGCCAGATAACAATATCACCACACATTTGACACCTCCACACACATTCTTAATCGTACTAAGACCAGGTTCAGGAATTGTTAAGTTTAGGTTGTCTCCCATGAACTCAGCATAAGGCGGCTCCCCCACAACAACAATGGCATAAGAGAATTTGGATGACTTGACAAATTCACTATCAGGAGTCTCATTGTAGACAATTTCCGTGCCTGGATGCACTGTTTTATATATGCCATCCAATATTGTGGTCCCTGTCCATATTGATGAAGAGATTGTCTCTTGTTAATATGGTATTACTCTCAAAATTATTAGCATTGAAATTAGATATCAAATGGTGAGTCCATTATACCGGCAGTGATGTTGCCACTGACCCCTTGCCAGGTAATGGTCCATCCTCCACATTGGTTGCCCAGATTGTTAGCATGAGTTCCTGCAACAAGAATTTTGGACGTCTTTTTGGGGAGAGGAAGCACATTCTTTCCATTCTTCCCATTCTTCAGTAGGACCAGGGATTTCCTCACAGCCTCCCTTGCCAAATCTCTATGAGCCTATCAAATAAAGGGTATTTTCATTTGAAAAAATAAAGACAAACAAGCATGTGACTATGAGTTTCTAATCACTAGTAGGCCAAAGAATTACCTTTTCAATAATATTGAGGATTGAACGCTAGAAAAGTATGGAATTGAAACTAACCTGACTACCAAGATGACTAGCCAGGCTAAGATCCGCCAAGGGATTCTCAAAAAGGCCCGCAACAAATTTGACCCTTAAAATTCTTCTAACAGCATCATTAATACGAGTGATGGGGATAAAGTTCTTCTCCACTAACATTTTGACAATGTCTAGGAGCTCCTGTGGGCTGTGAACACCCATAATCTGAAAAGAGCAAGCTTCTAGTAATTTGTTTTGTTGAATTTGAATGGCTTTATGTTATTTATTAGAAGAAAAATTACTAACCATGTCAATGCCTGCTTGAATTGCAGTGTGTACAGAGTATGTGTAGTTTGCATCGGGGGGTGAAGTAATCTTATCAACACCTTCAAAGTCAGAGATGACAAATCCCTGCCAATTGTTACAAATAACAGCAAGTTAACAGCAAGTTAGCCAACTCTCTCACTAGTTAGCTCTATTGCTAGGGACTTTCAAAACTACTAAAGAACTGTACCCTGAATTTGAGGGTGTTTTTGAGATATCCAGTAATAAGATCAACATTAGCATGCATCTTCTTTCCATTCCAGCTCGAGTAAGAAACCATCACTGTTGAAACACCCTTCATAGTGGAATTGTAGTACGCTGGCAAGTGAATGTTCCTCAATCCTTGCCAGTTGATCACTGTGTTGTTCTCATCAATCCCATTGATCGTGCCTCCATCACCCACAAAGTGCTTTGCACAAGCCACAACCTTATCCCTTTAAAACATCAATGCAAATAAAATGGCACGGTTATAAAACTCTCATCATGTAGAAGCAGATATTTAAAAGGTGTTTCAGGAAGAAGCAGGCAACTCCATTGAATAAAGACTTACTTCCCACCAACATAGGGTACACCCTTCCTTGAATTGGAAGGGATTTCCCCTTGTAGGCCAAAGATTATTTCAGTCATTTGCTGAACAACCTTATGATCCTCACTGTAACTCTCATAGCAACGGCCCCATCTTGGATCTCTGCAGACCTGTTGACAATGTTTTTAAGACCAAGAATTAATATTCCAAGAAATGATTAGTCTTTTCATATATATTCCACCTCGAGAATACATCTTATTAGAAATAGAGCAAATACATACTGCAATGCAGGGCGCAAAGGTGTAAGGAATGCCTGTGGCTCTAACTTCAAGAGCAGTTGCAGCTCCAATCTTTTTCACAAGCTCTGGATCCCTACAATTAATTCCAATTATCATAAGCTATAACATTAAGTAATTCTAACAAACTATATTTTGATAGGCAGACAGGTAATGAGCAATTCAAAATCAGTGGAGGATAAGAACAATGAACAATAGAATTAAGTTGGTGTTAGTATGTAATTTTTGCCTTGTTGCTCCAGGTGTATATTTATGTGTGTGTGTGTGTGTGTGTGTGAAATAAGTTAAAATATGTAGTTAAAACCATAAGTGCTTGTTCAAATACTATCGTTGTATGTGCCACCTTGTTGCTCCGAGTCCAATGTTGTGGGGAAATATAGTGGCCTTGTAGACATTGTTATGTCCGTGAATGGCATCAATTCCATAGAGCATGGGGATCCCGAGTCTACTGGAGAGAGAGCCCTTTTGGTACCCATTCACCATGTTAATCCAGTCCTCGGCAGTAGCTTGTGGGCGCGGAACGCTTCCTCCCCCACTCAGCAGACTACCAATGGAATAATTCCTCATCATCTCAGCATCCACTTTCATCCTCTCGAGCTGCATCATCTGTCCTATCTTTTCTTCCAGCGTCATTCGCTTCATCAGGTCTCGTATTCGGACATTGATCGGTTGGTTCCGATTCTTGTACTTCGCGTCCTCTGCCAGTGCTACGGGCAAGCAGAGGCGTAAGAAGAGCAACACTCCCACTAAGAGGACTGAAACCCATTTGCTCATTCTCTCCATCCTCTGAAGTCTGAAGATCAAGTGTGATTATTTATCAACCATAGTGGAAGAAACCAAAAAGTAAAATTGGAGCAAACACTTGGTCGAATACCACAATGAACATACTATAGTGACAGAAACACATTATGGAAAGAAGTTATAAAGAAATACAAGTTGAACAGATCACGTTCAGAATTCATTGCAGGATTTATCTAAAGCCCTAAATCCAGATTGGGTAACCTTTTGAAAAGCAAGCTTTTGAAATCAAATGAAAAGAAGGGAAAAAGAGCAGGAAAAGGAATTTTATGAAGGAAAATGAAAAAGAGCATCCAACACAAAATCCCAGGAATGCAGAGACACAAAAACAAATTTGCAGATTAGATCAAAAACAACTAAGCAGAGCAAGAACTAACCCGGAAGAATGAAATAAGTTAACTGTGCAAAATTCTCAAGCTGAGAGAGGTGGCTCTTAATCTGTCCGGCACTGGCGAAGACCAGACATTGACATTTATAGACGGATCTGGACTCGGGTTTCGACACGGGCTGTGAGGTTCAAAAAGGTCTCGGATTACGTATATTGTTATTATATTCTCTAGCTATTGAATCCGAAGGTAAGTACTTAATTATGTCTCTAACGGTAACCTTGTTATCCATTATCTATTATTACTTTTTGAGTTTGAAAATAGGCAAAATTTTACTTATGGTCTTGCAAATTTGGTTGCAGGAAAGTATAGCATACAAATATGACTAGAAAATAAGGGATAGGAAAGTATAGCATACAAATATGACTAGAAAATAAGGGATTTATTAGTGTTTATTTTGTAACCTTGTAATTACAAAATATCACATTGAAAATTAGCAAAATTTTCATTTACTGTTAATTAGTATACTATAATTGAATCTCATTAGTAAGAAATATCTATACCAATTTACAAAATAATTCAGTGTATTTCTTGACTGATGATGACAAAAATTTCTTATATATCAACTTACAAAATAATTCAAAATAACTTTAAAAAGTTCAATAATTATTAAGCTCATTAAAAAAAAAAAAAATTATGTAGCTGCAAAATCATTATCATGGTGCTTGCATGTGAACTTCCTATAAGCCAAGAATGTATTGCTCGTGACCGAAAGTGAACTCTTGATTGTAGTATTGACATAGTAATTTGGGATGTTGAAATTTAAAATAGTTATGAATTGCAAAATTGAGATCTCCCTGCCCTCTATGGAACCTAGGTGGCTGCTGGTGGCTTAAAATGAAGCCTGACTACTTCTCCTCCTAATGAGATACATGCCCTTGGTATCATTCACTATACACTTGTTACTCTTAATTGTTAAATTTCTTAAAAAAATCAATCTAATTAAAAAATTTATAATAAGTCATTGAACGAACATACAAATTAATTTTTTATGTCTCTTCTAATTCCATATGCATTTTTTCCACTAGAATTCGATTTATAAAAATAAATAAATTCAATGTTAACAAAAAGAAAAAAAATAAAGATGAGTGCTAACTTGCCTTCCTTTCATAACAACTCAAATCATCCCAAAAAAATTATTCAATGTTAAACTCTCTCTCTCTCTCTCTCTCTCTCTCTCCAAGTAAACTATTAATTTAAATCGGATTTAATAAAGAATTAGAAGAGAAACATAAAAACCTAAATGCGTAAAAGTATTTTATATTTTATCTAGATACATATTCAGACTAGGGATTCATAAACAAATTCACAAACTAAAATTAATAAATAATTATGTAATGCCCTAGTTTGTTTTTATTTTTCTTTTGGGTTACAATGAACTAATTGAAACATTTGGGGGCGAAATCAAAAACTTGGGGAGTAAAGTGAATAGGACAAAAGTTAAGGGGCCAAATTGGAAAAAAAAAAAAAGGGAAAGGGGACCTTCGGCCGGATGCCGGCCGAAGGGTGTAGAAGCAAATCTGCTCCAATAGGAAATGAACAACACAAAATTTGTTTGCAATTTTGTACATAAAGTTGAGACGAGCCTGGGTGTAAGGTTAATTGAGAACAATTGTGAGAGGAGAGGGGGGAAACAAGCTAGACGCTCCACGGCACCGACGGAGGGAATTTTAAAAAATCTGAAGCATTGGGTACATTTTATTCCGATTAAAGGTCATCAATCTGTTCGCCGGCCTTGATTACCCATTTCTGGCTTCCACGGATCAAGGTAAGTCGGATTGAGTTTGTATTTTGAAGCTTTGGAGGATCCGGGTCTGTTACAAACCCAGATGTTGGCTCGGGCGCCTCAGTTGGGCGAAAGAGAAGGGACCCGGCTAGGCCAGGTCTCGCATGAGGGTCGGCCTGGGTTGTGGGCCTGGGCTCGACCCGTCAAGGCTACAGGCCCGCGATCCTGAACTGCAGGCCAGCTAGGAGGGGGGTACACGGCCTGGCTCAGGAAGCCAAGTAGAGAAGAAGGGACCCGGATGGGTCCAAGTCCCTATGCTGGGCTAGCCCGCCCTGCTGGGCTTGGGCTCGGCCTAGATGAGCTACAGGCTCGTGGGCTGAGCCGCGGGCCAGCCCAGGTGAAGGCTGGGCTGAGTCGACTCGGCCCAGTGAGTAAGAGGGCTGGGTCAACTCAGTCGAGTTGACCCAAGATGGAAATTGGATTATGCTATTGCAGGGGGATAAGGAATCAGGGATAAGGGTTAATTGGGGATAGTAGAGAACAGCATAATCCAAGAATTAGGGGATTAGGGCTTGGAGTTGACTGAACCGACTAGAAACGGTTCAATGTTTGACCGGCAAGTTCAGTGGTCAAATGGACTCAATTTGGGAAGTTGGATCGATTTTGGATTTAGGAAGAAAATACCTATCAAATCAAGTGGGTTCAGGAAATTTTGGGTGGCCGGTTTGAGGTGAACCAGCCGGTTTAGTGTGGTTCCTTTCGAGTGACTAGTTCACAAGTTTTTAGGCCGATTTTTAGAGAGATTGAACCAGTTCCTGGTTCAATATGATAAAACCTAGTTGACTATGAAATTTGGTGATGTTTGGATGACTGGTTCAGGGTGAACCAGCCTCAGTTTGCGTGCCGACGCTTAGGATTAGGGTTTTTGGCGTGGTTCAGCCTAATTTTTAGAAGTTTTTGTTCGATTCAAGGGGGTTCCTAGGGTTTTTGGGCCTTTTGAATCCAATTTTGAGGGTTTCGTGGCCAATTAAGATGAGTCAGGAGTGTCTTGAGATGCCTACTAGGAGCCCGGACATGGGGGAAGTCCCGGGCCATTTTCGGTGAGTGTGTCTTTTAAGAGTAAATTTAGTTTTGATTCTGACTCATGGTTTGATGATTGTAAATACTCCAGGGGAGGTTCGCTTTGAGCATTGACCCGTTCGTTTGAAATCCGGCGCTCGATTTTGATGTGTCCGGTGAGTGACAGTACTCTTTGTACATGTGTTTGTATTCCGATTTTCTGTTATTTTCTGTGTTTGATTTCTAAACTATGTTATTATTTTCGGTACATGTATCTATTTGTTTTAGAGCATGATAAGCTTGAAGTTATTCCTGTAATCACATATATATATCTACCTCAGTGCTATATGTTTTTTGTTTTTGTACATCTGTCATGAACATGTGTGTGATTCTGGTTTTCCAGTTTTGACTCCGATTCTGTTCAGGGGTGCCAGGTACTCGGCCACCAGACGGTTGGCCGCCGTACTATGCGGGGAGTGCCCTGAGTCCGAGCGGTTGGGCACCGTGGCGTGTGGGGAGTGCCTTGGACCCAATGAGGTATTTCTGATTCTGATTCTGATATGTGGTTCTAATTCTGGCTCGGGTTCCGATCAGGGGTGCCAAGGACTCAACCATAGGACGGTTGGCCGCCGTATCATGCAGGGAGTGCCCTGGGCCCAAGGATGTGATAAGTGTGATTCTGATTCTGGCTCTAGTTTTGGCACGGGATCCCAGTGCGACATATGTGATATGTGACTCTGATTCTGATTTTGGGATGCTAAAGGCTCTGTCGTCGGGTAGTTGGTCACTGTTGCACGGGAAGCGCCCTAGATCCACCTGTGACTTTGACTATGATATGGGATGCTAGGGGCCCTGAGTCTGTATGATGAGTCGCCGTAGCGTGCAGGGAGTGCCCTGGGTCCGTACGGTTGGCTGTCGTAGCATGCGGGGATTTCCCTAGATCCATATGTGGCTTTGATTCTGATATGTGTTATGTGTTATGTTCTGATATTCTGATTAAATTCTGATTTTTAGATTATGACTGTGCATATGAAATTACATATATTAATTTAAGCAATATGACTTTTGTAAATCGTGTTGTTACTTGTGTGATACATGTGTTTTGCATAATTTCGGTTTCTGTCCCAGTATGTCCGGATAGTACTGTCATTCACTGAGTTATATACTCATTCATTTTTCCCCCACCTTCCATATTCCAGTTCTGATAGGCAGCGGTAGCTCTAGTGTCGGTTCATCGCCGCCGCACTGATTCGATTGTACGGGCACTTTCTGTACATTTATTTTTTATATTCTAGAGCTCCGTGTACAGTTAGACGTGTGTTGTTATTTGTGTGTGTGTGTGTATATATATATATATATATATGACCTTCTGGTGAGATGTTTATTCGCTTCGTTTTGGTTAGAGGCTTACTAGGGTTGGTATGCCAATCCTAGTACCGGTCATGCACCCGGGTTGGGGCGTGACAAATTACATCATGAAACTATTTAAATTTTTAATAAACATTAGCATGAGAATTATTAAAAAACTCCATGATCTATTCTTAAAATCATAGAATCAATTGCAAGTTAGAATGAAGAAAAAATTTCAGGATAATTACAAAAAAGGAAAATTTAAAAATAAAAATTATTTTAAAGGCCAAAATGAAAAATTATTACAGAAAAGGAAAAAATTGTTACTAAAAAGTCCATAACCAAAAAATTACTCACTTAAGGTAATTTCTATATCTAAAATGCCCTCAAATATTTTTCCTTCCTCCTTCCTTTCTCTTCATCCTTCTCCTTCTTCTTCTTCTTATTCAAAATCATGAGACCAAACTCCGACATCCCAATGTCTTCTGCGCCAACTAATCTAAGCTTTCTTCTTCTTCCTTTAGCATCTTCATCTGTGTAAGTCTCGAATTCTTCTTCTTCTTCTTCTTCTTCTTACTACTACTACTACTACTACTACTACTACTACAAACATCTGCTACTATTCCTATAGATACTAGTTTTTATTTCTTCAATTTCAAGTGCATTTTGGGTATAATGGATTGAGGTCAAAACATGAAAGTTGTAACTCCTTCTCTTAGCTTTCCAAGAAATTTTAAATTGCTCAAATCTGAGTTTTCTAACTTGAAATATGAATTTTTTTATTGAAATTGTTGCTGCTAAGAGTTGTTTATGCTAAAAATTTTGACAACTTTTGTTTTCCCCATTTGGACAACTTTCTGAGAAAATTTGAATCGAGATCAAAACACAATAATTGTAGATATTCTCATTGGCATTACAATAGTTTTTAAATCACCTCAATCTGACTTGTGA